AGTTGTTAAAATCTTATCTAGCTCTGATTTAAAGGAACCCAAGGATTCAGCTTGCACTACGTTATCAGGAAGACTACTCCATACTCTGACTACATGCTGTGTAAAGAATTGCTTCCTTAAATCCAGTTTGAAATGTTCTCCCACTAATTTCCACCTATGGCCACGAGTTCTTGTATTTGAACTAATGCTGAAGTAACTATTCGGTTGAACAGCATCCAAACCGGTTAGAATCTTATAGACCTGGATCATGTCCCCCCTCAAATATATTTGGGAGCCCTTTAAGATCATTCTGAAACATTTTTTACAAATATGTATACAAAAGCATATTTTCTTCCTGATTCAAGTTTATATGAGCTGTAACTGGCAGAAGGAAAGCCTTACATATGGAGACCTGAGCATTTAGATTCAGTAGAATGTTCCTAAAACAGTTATGCATTGCTATTTAAACATGTAAACAGTCATGATTATAAGATGCTTCTTTGGATAAACAAAAAGTGCGGTGGATGGACACGTGACATGAGCGCCGGAACAGAAAGCATGATCATACCACGACAGAGTGTGCTGCAGACTCTCGTGTGGCGTGTGCGTGGTCGACAGGGAGGCGACGACCTGGACGGCTCCTATGCACTGGGCTGCAGCGTCAGCGTCCGCCGCAGTGTGGATGGATTCACCTTCCCCACCCACTGCAGCCGCGGGGAACGGAGGCGCCTTTATGCACTGGCTAGCAAAGGTGAGGTCACTCCTTGAGTCCTTCACAGTTCCAGTTTAATTGTGTGTTCTCTGCGTGGATTGTAGTGTGACCATCTTTCCATCTTCTGCCCATTTTACCCTGCACTGATTCTTGGAAATTTGGATAAAACAGGTTTTAGTTCGGAAATTAAAAAGTTACTTAAATTACAAAATCTGAAGGTATATCATTATAGACTAAGGTCTTGGCTGTTCAGCAATGTATTTTTTTTCATAAAATAGGCGTTTTTTCAAGTTATTACTTTGTTTTTGTCAACATAAAGTCAAAGTTGAGTGTAATGATTGGGGGGATTTGGGGGGAATGTTGTGAAGGTTGGATGAGGTAAGCCAAATGAACGTGGCATAACAGTGAATTGAGAGAGAGAGGGAAGGCACACCCCCTCCCCTAGGGTTGGACGACATGGAAGAAATATAGGGGGAATTACATCAATAAAATACAAAAGAGGTTAATGAAGCATCACAGGTCATAGTGGTATTTATTATGATCAACAATTATATTTTAGCCTCCGCTGAGGACCATTTGGAGGTTTCTGTCATCACCGTCAGACAGAAAACCTGACGGTGGTGACAAAAACCTACTCTTTCACATATGTATGAGTTGTTCACATTAGCCATTTTGTTTCCCCTCTGTTGCTAGCTACTTCAGACCTCTTCATAAAAAGTATACATTTATGTCATAATCTAATCTAATATATTTTTTTTACAAAAGAGA